ATGCATGTCGCTGGAAGAGCCCATGTTTTGTCAGCCAATCAGCATGTGTGAGCATTCAGTTTGTTTCCTTCACATGAATTGCAGTAAAATTTTGAATATGTATGAATTAAATATTACGGTGGGGGCATCAGAATTTTACAAATACTAAAGTGGGGCATGGCCCCAAATCAGTTGGGAACCACTGCTCTGAGTTATTTTCTGCCCTACAATCACTTTTCCACAGATGAAATGCTGAAGTCCTCTCATTATTCTAGGGCAGATATTCTGACAAGCTACCTTCTTTAGTCCTACCACCCCTGACTTTTACAACTTGAACCAGCCATGCCACATACACAAAGGTAAATCATCGCCATTGCCTTTGTATTCCATTAGTAAGTAAGAAGTAAGTTCCATTCAGACAACTTCTTCCCATGAATTTCTGCTTTGTGGAACAGACTCCCAGCAGGATGCTTTCCCAATGACTACAATCTTGACCTCTTTAAGTCTAGGGTTATATAGTGACATAGGTAAAATGGACTTGCCCTATTTTACATAGAGTCAAATAACTACTAAGTCAGTCATCACTCGGTACAGGGGTAGAACTTCTATGTCACAAACTAGAAGACATCACAACAATATGGCATTACCAGGAGGATCTCTAAGACTGTTGAATGAGCTGAACTTTGTGGAAACATGGATTCATTGTTTTGCTGCCCAGGTGCAGACAAAGAAGTTAAAAGACCACAAAGTTGCAGGAGGAGAGAATGAGATTACAGATCTCTTTTTGACATCAAATATATGATAGGAAACATTATTTCACATAATCACGACTAAAGTTCAACAATGAACCTTTAGAAAGATCAGAATAAACTCAGACATCTAGTTGATTTTGATTGTTTTGTTTAGTGTCCTTATAAACCTCTATGAGTTATTTAATGCCAAAATCTAAATATTTTGTGTATATCTCTGAGATGAGGTATTATGATCACTTACATTATTTACATTATTCTGACTGTCATCTTCATTGTGATATTCACAACGTTTCAGCCATTGTATGCTCTGGCCTTCTTCAGGTGATTGGAATTTTGCGAGTTGTGAGCTCAATACCAGGCCATAGCAGTGGTAAACCAAAATTTGGAGAGTTTAGTTAAAGGGAAATAACTGAGACATCCAGAAGAGGCATGACATGTGGAACTAGAACAATCTACTCTGGTGGACAAAATAAAGAGTTCAGTTCAAAATTCCAATCACCTGAGGAAGGCTGGAGCATGCAACGGCTGAAACGTTGTGAATATGCCAATGAAGATGAGGATAACAGTCTAAATAATGTAAATAATATGTAAATCTAAATATTTTGTATGCAATTTAACTTTATTTTTGGAGATAATGGTTTAGTGATACAAGTTTTACTAATTAACCCATAGCTGGGAGGGAAGAAGAGGTGGATTTATTAACAACATTTACCAGCCTGAATGTCTGAGAAATTGTATTAGAAAATATGTGTCCTCTGACAGGAATCGAACCTGTATCCTATACGGAACCGTCATATAGCCTGACTTGCTTTTACCAATTTTACCACAGAGGAGCGTTTCAGTTAGCAAGGTTGATTTTACTGTTTTTAAACTACAATTTTCCATGGTTTTCTCATGTACATTCATATCTGCTTGATGTGTATCCAAATGTAAACAAATGACGTCACACATGAAATGGACAAAGTCCGACAATTATTTTAAGACATTTTTATGTTTATAGAATATACTGTAATTTATAATTTTAATTTATAAATTTATAAATCTATAATTTATAAAATATATTATAATGTACATGAGAAAATCATGGAAAATTGTAGTTTAAAAACAGTAAAATCGACCTTGCTAACCAAAACGCTCCTCTGTGGCAAAATCAGTAAAAGCACTTCAGGCTATATGACGGTTCCGTATAGGATACAGGTTCGATTCCTGTCGGAGGATGAATATTTTCTATGGCAATTTCTTGGACATTCAGGCCGGTAAATGTTGTTAATACTGTTTTTTATAAACAAAGCATTTATTTAAATATTTGTATCTATAAAAAGAATGTATAAACATAAAACTGTCTTAAAATAATAATCTTTCTTATTTTAGAAAAAGTACGTATTTATTATTATAAATCAATAATGAAAAAATATTTTTGTTTAAACCTATTTATAATATGCGGACCTACTATCACCTGTAATTTACAGTAACAAAATGCATATCATTTTCGAGAAATTACGGTAATTTTGAGTTCCATCTTCTGTCAAAGGCATGAAACTTGAGAACTTGTCAAGTTTATTAAATAAAAAAAAATGAAAAAATGCTACTTGGGTAAAAGCAAGTCTCAAAATCACTTTCACAGATTCCGTTCAGAGATACCATGATTTTTGCGTCTTAAACTGTTCATAAATTTGATCCTTATAATAATGACAAGATCTGCATAATTCTTTCTGTCCACATCTGTTCAATTACTTCTCAATGCGGTTAATACTACTTAGAAGACAATACTCAGACACAATGCAGAAAAGCAACATCTTCAAGTATCTTGCATAGCAATTAAAGACGATATTAACAAAGGCAAAATATATTCTTCTGCTTCATGCAGTTAAACACAGGAATAAAAATATTTGCTATACTTCTGGTAATATAAATAAAATATATTATGCATGAATAAGCATAATTACTTAGTTTAGCTTAGTCTGGTATAAGACCACAATATTTGTGTACCCAGCAAAGATCAAAATCAAAAGCAATGCCCTGTAAGGTGAGCTTACTTACAAGTAGGCACCAAATACATAGTTACTGAATGTTGATTCATTTGGCCTTAGACCCTAATAGTCAAGTATATTTACTTGGCCTCCCCACCAAGGCTGGAAGTGACACAAGGTTGTTTTAACATGGGGAGCACTGTATGCATACTTATACTTATACATATGTACCAAGGTCAAAAAACTGATTTTTGCTCAGCTTCTACAACCACTGTCATGCTGGCATTGGTATTACACTGACCCAACCTCTTTAGTGCAATGAGGAAGGTGCTGTCGCTGGGTTAGAATCCCCAGGGCTGAGCAACTTTTCCCATCTAAAATGAGGAGAATAATGGCTCCATTTACAGCACAGGGGGTGTTGACTGTGCCTCAGTAAATGCTCATTTGCTAATGGTTAATCATTTCAATTCAAGAAAGACAATAAAAGTTACTAGGATGCAAAGGGTAACTAAGAGTGAAAGAAACTATGAAAAGAGATCTTATGTTTACATGTAGCAATTTCAACAGTAAAATGATGAGACCTAACTGCCAATCTAGTAGTTAACTTAAATTCATGCAGTCAAAGTTACCAAGAGGAAAGCTTATTAGAACAATTGCCATGAAATGTTTATAGAAAAAAGACGGGGAAGCCACATCGTGGTGGTGATTGGAAAGTAAGTGATGTCGAGATGCCAGGTTAGGAATGATAACAATATAGAAACTTTTTTGGAAGAATCTTGAGATATATAGCAGGATCATAAGGCTGGCTTTTTTAATAATTTCATTTCAAGCAAAGCCACTAAGCTGCAAAGATTTGCTGATAGTGAAAGAATCTGAGATGTCATCAGTAAGGGGAAAGGGTAACAAAAGAAAATGACGATGCTGCTCTTCAAATTTTGAAAATCATATTTGAGATGCCAGGTAACAATATAGACCTTTTTTGATGCTATGGGTTACTGAGAGTGTAAGAAACTATTAAAGTAGAACTTATGTTTACATCTAGCTATTTCAACAGTAAGATAATGAGACCTAGTTGCTAATCTAGTACTCGACTTAAATTCATGTGGTCAAGATACCAATAAGTTAAGCTTATTAGAAAAATCACCATGAAAATGTTTATAGAAAAAACAGAGGGAAGCCACATCATAGTGGTGGAAAAGTGACTGAAGTCACAATACCAGGTTAGGAATGATAACAATATAGACACTTTTTTGGATTTGTCAAGAATCTTGAGATATATAGCAGGATCATAAGGCTGGTTTCACCCTGAGCAAAGCCACTAAGATGCAAGGGGTTGCTGACAGTAAAAGAATCTGAGATTTTGTCAGTAAGGGGAAAGAACAACAAAATAAAATGATAATGCTGCTCTTAAAATTTTGAAGATCATAGTTGACAGGAAAGCTAGAAAACAGAAGAGAGTTTCACATATGAGAAGAAAGAAGAGAAGAAACTATTAGAATAGAAGTTATGGTTACAGTACCTATTTCAACTGTAAAATGGTGAGATCTAGTTACCAATCTAGTAGTACACTAAAATTCATACTGTCGTGTTACCAAGGAGGCAAGCTCATTAGAACAATTGCCATGAAAATATTTATAGAGAAGACAAAAGGAAGCCATGGAATGGTGTCAGGAAATTCAACATGTCAGAACTGCTAACATTACAGTCAGGATTACAGTGATTTCTATTAGACTTCTTTTCCTCTTAGTATTCAAAAATCTTATTACACTTCATACCTCTATATTTTTCCACTGTTTTATGGTGGCAATTATTTTTGTACTTTTCAATTTTCTGTGGTTCCTACAAGAAGTATTGCACACATCCCCATTTCTTTTGTGCTTTCATTTTTCCTAATGTTTAAATTTCAATTGATTTATACCAATCTGATGTTTAATTTTTCAAACATTTTTCCGACTCATAAAATCCTTTTCCTGAATGGATATCATTTTTTAGATGATCTGTACAAGAGACTGAATTCGCCTCCAACATGAATGATTTGCTTTTTATGGCTTATCAACCTTTTGCCGGTTATTTAAAGCCAGAAAATACTTTTCGATTGTAGGAATTTTTTTTAGATAATAATAATTTACCGATACAATTCCTATTTATTATCCCATAGCTGGGGGAGAAGAGGTGGACATACCTTTTGTGAAGGTTTTTTTGTGGTTAGGCAAATATAACAAACCCAACTGGAATTGGAACTTGGCTCTCTGATTTCCAATTACAAACTGTTATCCATTTCATCACCTGCACACCAAAGCTTACAGCACCTAGTATTCCTAACCAGTCACCCATCTAGGTACTGACCAAGCTCAACATTGCTTAACTTTGGTGATCATACGAACACTGGTGTTTCAAAATGATATGGCCATAACTCTTTTATATCAATGTTTCTGAACCTTATTTTGGTTGTGGCCCCCTTCAATCCAATACAAGTTCTTTATGGCCCCCTCATGCCAACTTCAGTTCTTGCATCAGCAATGCATCCACAACCAGTATGGCACTGTCATTTGGTGTAGATTAGAGAGAGGTGAGTTTTCATATCATTATACAACTGCTTCAAATGAGTAACATACACAGCTAGGTCAGCAAAAAGCAGCTTGGTGGATATATAGGGTGTCCATAAAGTTCATGTGCACTTCAAAAAATTTATAACTTTATTTGTATTTGCAATAGAAATAACTTGTAAAAAGGATTAGAAAGAAGTAAATCTATATTTTTTAAGGTTTTATTGAAATTATATTTAAGTTTCCACATGTCCTCCATCATTAGCAATACAAAGAGTAATACGATTTTGCAGTTCATGGAAAACATTTGCCAACTGATTTACAGTAATGCCTGAAATCACATTAGTTATTTTAGCTATACTTAAAACTAGGTATATTAAAATTTATAACATATATCCTGCATTTGGAGATTAAAGGACTTAGGAGTCAACAAGGAAAGTGACATCACAACATTTAGAAAAAAACAGCATCGAAATCTAACATCTAAATAGTGAAACCCAAAAAGAAGCAAATGAGGCCAAAATTTCAATTTTATAAATGCCACTGACAATATTTTTCTTTTTTTTTAATCATTTCGCCCCAAGCAAGGCCATGAAGCGACTGAGATACAAATGTTAGATTTATACAGGGTGTCCATAAAGTTCATGTGCACTTTAAAAAATTTATAACTTTATTTGTATTTGCAATAGAAATAACTTGTAAAAAGGATTAGAAAGAAGTAAATCTATATTTTTTAAGGTTTTATCGAAATTATATTTAAGTTTCCACATGTCCTCCATCATTAGCAATACAAAGAGTAATACGATTTTGCAGTTCACGGAAAACATTTGCCAACTGATTTACAGTAATGCCTGGAATCACATTAGTTATTTTAGCTTTACTTAAAACTAGGTACATTAAACTTTATAACATTTTTTACAGATTATTCCTATCGCAAATACAAATAAAGTTATAAATTTTTTAATGGGCACACAAACTTTATGGACACCCTGTATTTGCTCAGGAAGGAAACTGTGCAAACTCACATCTCCCAAATTCAACCAGAACAGCTTTTGTTTCCTATTAAAAGTGTTAATTACTGCCTTGCAGAAAAACAGGGTGTAGTCATTTCCTTGGAGCTCTTTGTTCAGGACATTTAGATTTTCAAAATTGAAAGACAAGTTGGTGAAAACATATCTTAAGAGTTTTAAATTTTAAGAAATTGAAAACTGAAAACAGCCATTTTGTATAGATCAGAGGAAAAAATTACAATAAATAAATATTCATGTTAACAAAATGATTTAGATTAATTTAATATTTAACTTAATGATAAATTTAATATTTTATTGTAAATAATAATTATTAATTAAAAAATGCTCCATATATATATTTTGCAGTTCCTAAATTTTCTGTGGATCCCCTCATTTTTCAACCTCAGCCTTGTGGCACCTAAAAATAGCTCATGGCCTCCAACGGTGTCATATCACACATGTTGAGAAACTTTGCTTTATATTACCAGCACATACAAGCTTATAGCATCTAGTATTTCGAAGTGGTCACCCATTTAGGTACAGACCAGGCTCAGCATTACTTAACTTCAGTGACAGTATGAGAACAGGTGTTTCAATAGGATATGGCCACAAGTCCTTTATACCACCAGCACACAGCACCTGGTATTTCCAAGTGGTCACCCAGCTAGGTACTGACCAGGCTCAATGTTGCTTAACTTTGGTGACAGTACAAAAACTAGTGTTTCAATAGGATATAGCCACAAGTCCTTTATACCACCAGAACATACAAGCTTACAGCACATGGCATTTCCAAGTGGTCACCCATCTAGGTACTGACCAGCTTCAACATTGCTTAACTTTGGTGATCATATGAGAACTGGTGTTTCAATATATGGCTGTAAGTCTCTCTGACATGAGTGGAGTGGAGTGGAGAGTGTTGTAACCCATTAGGATTGTATATATATAGCAAGAGCACCAGACAAGACCGGATGAATGGTTTGACTTGCATCAATCCAAGACAAATAAATGACTAGGAATTGTCATGATGCACTTGTCCCTGATAAAAAAGATAATAACTTTTAATTTTCTTCTTTTATTCTGACCAAAAGATGCCTACCAAGGAAATATGAAGCACATTATCAATAAAAGGATTTTTCCCTGCCGTATTTCTCCACTTTTGTTTGGATTCTATATCCATGCTAATGCACATATATTTGTGTGTGAGCGGGTTCTTCAACGTGGTGTAATGGTTAACAAACTGGTCTTGCTAGATCAATTAGGACTGAATAGAAAGTTTGAACCTCACTGGATGCTCCATATGTTTAGCCTTGTACCACATCTAAGCTAGGCTTATAAAATCATTTGAGCACTTTGACATGGTATAGTGGTTAGCAAGCTTGTCCCGCTAGATCAATTACAACTGTATAGTGAGTTTTATCCTCACTGGGTGACTCATACATTCGGCCATGTGCCACATCTAAGCTACGCTAAGAACATCACCGAACACTTCAATGTGGTGTAATGGTTAGTAAGCTTGTTCTGATAGATCAGTTATGACTGAATAGTGAGTTTGATCGTCACTGGGTGACACATTCATTTGACCTTGTGCCACATCTAAACTAGGTGAAAAAAAATCACCGAACACGTCAACATGCTGTAATGGTTAGTAAGCTTGTCCTGCTAGATGAATTATGACTGAATAGTGAGTTTGATCCTCACTGTCTGCTTCATACTTTTGACCTTGTGCCACATATAAGCTAGGCTTATAAAATCATTTGAGCACTTTGACATGGTATAGTGGTTAGCAAGCTTGTCCCACTGGATCAATTACAACTGAATAGTGAGTTTGATCCTCACTGGGTGACCCATACATTCGACCTTGTGCCACATCAAAGCTACACTTAGAAAATCCCCAAACACTTCAACATGGTGTAATGGTTAGTAAGCTGGTCCCACTAGACCAATTATGATTGAATAGTAAATTTGATCCTTATTGTGTGCCTCATACTTTTGGCCTTGTGCCACATCTAAGCTAGGCTTAGATTATCATTTGACATAGTGTTATGGTTAACAAGTTTGTCTCACTAGACCAATTATAACTGAGTAGTGAGTTCTATCCTCACTGGGTGCCCCATACTTTCATCCTGTATGATGTGCAAGCTACGCTTACTAAATCACTATATATGTCCGTGTGTGTTTTTCCCCTCAAAAGGACTTCTTATATATCATATGCATATTAAATGTAAATTGCCAAGTTGAAATATATTATTTTCTGTGTCCATTTGTATCAATATTTCAAGCTTTCTTAATGATACATCTACATAAGTGAGCATCTTATCGATACAATATGTAAATATGTAAGTTTATCCAAGTATGACTCATTGCGTACATGCTACTATCAGCCACTCACACACTTTTCATACTGAATATATAAACAAAACAAAACAAAAAAAAATCAATCCTTTTCAAGATGGATGCACTTTTCAATTTCAGCAATTATATTATTACCAAGCCTAAGTGGGTCAACATGATCACAAAATGGAGAATGGGGTATTGGGTTCATATTACTATTAGAAACAAAACAAACCAAAAATAAAAAATAAATAGACTGTTGTCAGGATGTGTTTTTTTTTTTTTTTTTTACAATGATATTCACTCTGTACAAGGCCCAAGAGCCACTCGAGGTAGAGGACTACAGGATAAGAGGCACCACTCCAATGAAGGTGATAATGTCACTAAGGTGCAAGAGCCTACTGGAAATGAAAGACAAGGAAAAAGAATTTAGAAGGAAGCAGCAAACCCAATCCTAAACAGGAAACTAGAGATAAACATCTAATCCAGTTCAAAAAATGGGGAGGAGTTTGAACCGGACGATAAGCAAACCTATCTACTCCTATTGATGAAAAAAAGAGTAAATAAATTGTAAATAAAATTTCAGAGTTTAAGCAGAGACATTAGAAGCATAGAGTTGAAGTAGACATTAGAAGGAATTGAAAACCCAATCCTACATAGGCAACAATGGATAAACCTCTACTTCTGTTCAAAAGACCAGGGAGGAGTGTAAACCGGACAATAGGCAAACCTATCTACTCCTATTGAGGATTTTACTGATCTTTTAACAAAAATTCTTTTTAAATTGAGACAACTTTTTCCTCATCTATTTGTGAATAATTTGATAAATATAGGATGGGATTGAATCAAATTTAATAATGGGGATAAAAAGTTTTTGTTGCAACTGCCTGATCATGGCCATCCAACCAGCATAAATAAGCAATCTAAAGATCATGGCCAGAAATAACAATAAATATTAGCCCTAAACAAAAACTGGGAAAGGACAGTTTCCTCTTTCCACAACTTTCCTTAATCTCCCAGTAACATATTATATATATATATTATAAATTAATTGATTTAAAATATGGTTTTTTTTTGCTACACAGTTCTAACCATGTTTCAAAAATATTTTTGAAACATGGTTAGAACATAGAACTGTGTAGCGAAAAAAAAAAATATTTTAAATCAATTAATTTATAATATTAATGCTCTGTAAATTTACATTGAGCACTATTTTGTAAAAATAAAAATATCTATAAGAACACCGGATTTTATATCTTACTGTTTTATCTTTTTATTCATATATATATATATATATATATATATATATATAAAATTGTGTATTTGGCTAGCAATTCCTCTTTTATGCAAATTTCATTAAAAATTAATTAAAGTTTTTTAAATAATTTTTTCATGTCTTATAATTTTTTTTCTTTTCAGGGCATAACTTATATAAAAATTGTCGAAATGTTTTATATATCCAAGCATTTTTATTTTATTTTTAACTGAATATATGGACTGTTTTATGTAAAAAATCCATATATTCAGCTATAAGTAAAATAAAATTCATTCTTGATAATGGATAAAAGTATATATCCGAAAGCACTTGGATATATAAAACATTATGACAATTTTTATATAAGTTATGTTCTGAAAAGAAAAGAAATTATAAGAACATATGAAAAATTATCTAAAAAAACTTAACCACAGCACCTTGTTAGACGTTTTTAATGAACTTACACATACACATACATATACTTGTTATGAAGATTGTATTTAAGTATGTAACTGACAGTCACCATGTAATGTTGATTACTATGTCCACACTGTTTATATCTATAAACACTATCTCTAATATTGAGCAGTCTTTCCATAAGTATAGCAAATTTAATATAATTGCTGATACCCCTGAAGAGTGTACAGACACATCCATCTCTGAAACTCTGGAGTTAAGATGTTGAAGCTAAGTGACAAATTTTACTCATATTAATCCTACATATATAAATATTCAGGTAAAATAAGAACAAATGGAGTATAAGTCCAAGCTTATATGAAAAATAATGCTAACCCAATATATATTCACCCCAATTCTAACTACCCTCCATCTGTAATCAAACATATCCTCATCTATAGAATTTAGGATTAGCAAGAACTCATCTGACAAAGATATGCTTGATAAATACAGCGGCTTTTATAATATTGCTTTAAAAAATAGTGGTTATAAGTACATGGAAATGAAGCATAGAAAATATGATAATATTGATCTAAGGAAAAGGAATAGGAAAATCATTTGGTACTCATCCCCATTTAACCAGTTAGTCACTACTAAGTTAGACCAGAAGTTCCTCTATTTAATTGGTAAACATTTCCCTAAAAGTAACACTCTTAGTAAAATATTTAACAGAAACACAGTAAAACTAAGTTATAGATGCACCAATAATCTTGAGAAGATTAAAAAGAAGCATAATAATAAAATTTTAAACCAATTTAAAAATTTGGATATTAATACACATCCCAAGATAAATACTGTTAATAATATTAACCAATGTAATTGCAAGGATTCTAATGAATACCCATTACAAAACCAATGTTTAACCATCTCTCTTCTTTATTTAAGTACTATTTCTACAATAGAGAATCCGACTGTTGAAAAATTTTATATTGGTAATACTATGAATTCTTTTAAGACTAGGTGGTATCAACATATTTTATCCTTCACCAATTGTACTTATTGAAATAGTACATCTCTTTCTAAATACTTTTGGAATTTAAAAGAAGCAAATAAAACTCCTCAGGTAAAATGGAAATTTTTTTAAAAAAGCTAGAAAATGATCTTTAAATGAACCTTGTTTTCTATGCTTACATGAAAAATTAGAAATTATCAGATTTTCTAATAAAAACTCCTTATTAAACCAAAGAAGTGAATTGACTAAATTGTAGGCATAGCCTGCATTTATCTTGCAATATGTTTAAACTTTGAATTTGATAATACTTTTTCTTATAGTGATGAATTGTTGTGCACTTTATATGGCTTACTATTCTATTTGTATGATTCATTTTGATTTAATATTACATTTGTATTGATGTCTGTTTAGTATTATTAACATCTTATATGGATGTGTAGGTGTTTAGTTGGCGTTATTGACATGTTACATTGATTAGTTGGTATTATTAACATCTTATATGGATGCTTTTTATTTGCTGGTTGCATATTAATTTGCCAAAGTAGTCCTATATTTTTTATCTGTATTTTTTTTTTAACAGTTATTTACCAGTTTCTTAAAGGGGCCTTTTATTTATCAACTACAAAATTTTATGTAAGAATTTGACCAAGCATATAACTAGTTAGCATTATGTTAAATTACCTCCCCACTTCTTTCATTTTTACTTCTTAGGAAAGTTGAAGGGTTGAATGTCTGACTTCATACATCTTACAAAATAATGTAGCAACTTGTATCTGCCCATAAGGAAATTGTCTAGGTTTTATATGCAGACAACTTCGTGTTATGATCTATATTAAAAAAAAAATTTCTGGTGAATTTGAATTTAGTGTATGTCA